CGCCCTCTTGGTCTGCCAGGCAAAAGCATTTGTTACATTTTTCAAACATGAAGTGAGAAGGGAGTAAGCTACTTATAGGAGGTGACTTGCTCTTTAAGTTCTGCAGGAAATACATGTCTATATTTGTATTACTATCGTAATATTTAAATTAATCTAATAGGATGTTTTCAACAATCCAATTATTGCTTTGATGACATTAGCCTATAAATAGTTTAATTTTGAATGGCTGGTAGCCTGGTGCAGCCACAACAACCTGGAGCTAAACACCCAGAAGACAGCAGAGGTTGCTGTGGACTTTAGGAAGCACACAGCCCCCCTTATAACCTTGTCTGACACTTCTATCATGATGGTGGATTCATGTCACCCAGCACCTCAAGTGGAAGCCCCACCATCACCTCCATCATAAAAAAGGCCCAGCACAGGACGTACTTCCTGAGGCAGCTGATGAAATTCAACCTATCAGTAGAGCCGATGAGGAAGTTCTACACCACAGTCATCAAGTCCACCCTCACCTCCTCAATCACCGTGTGGTACGCTGGAGCCACCACCAGGGACAAGAAGCTCTGCCGAACAGGTCATTGGCTGCAAACTCCCCTCCATACAGGACCTGTACACCTCCTGGACATTGAGGCAAGCAGTTCAGATACCCGTGTCACTCTGGACACAGATTTTTGACTCGCTCCCATCTGGCAGGAGGTTCCGATCCATTCGAACCAAAATCTCTCGCCACAAGAGTAGTTTCTTCCCCTCTGCTGTTAGACTCATGAACGACAATGACATTGGGCGATGGTGGCACAGGAGTTAAGTGCTCGTCCCGTAATCGGAAGGTTGCAGGCTCGAGCCCCACTCAGTCTTTCGCTGTCGTTGTGTCCTTGGGCAAGACACTTTACCCACCTTGCCTGCTGGTGGTGGTCAGAGGGACCGGTGGCGCCAGTGCTCTGCACCCTCACCTCTGTCAGTGCGCCCCAGGGCAGCTGTGGCTACATTGTAGCTCATCCCCACCAGTGTGTGAATGTGTGTGTGAATGGGTGAATGACTGATTGTGTTGTAAAGCACCTTGGGGGGTTCCAGGACTCTAGAAGGTGCTATATCAAATACAGGCCATTTACCATTTACCATCCAAAGGCTGCCCACTCCAGTCGCTTTGTTAGAATAGAATAGAATAGAATAGAATAGAATAGAATAAAACTTTATTGTCCACTGTGGTGGAAATTTTCCTTCCACAGTCACATGACCCTGCGTTGTGTTTGTACCTGAACTGATCACTCTGATTATACACTGTGTATTTAGTAGTTGAGATAATACATTATCATCTCATCATGTATTATTACTTCCTTTATGCTGTCATTTCTCGCACATATAAAACCTTCTGATTCTGATACTGATTCTGAATTGCATGACAAAAAATAATTTAGTGATTAGCATTTTACATTTCTGGTTGCAAAAGGTTAAAATTACAACATTTTTAGACTTTTGTTATTCATGTCTGATGCTGAAGATTTACCTTTAATACATATTTAAGTTTGGTACTGACCAATTGTTTTTAACATTAATAATTGGATTTGTTTAAGGATTTATATATATAATCTTTTGAATTCCTAAATAAATATAATGGAAAGGTAAATACAAAGTAGGCCTATTCTCCATATTTTTTGTATTGAGAAACAAAATTGTATTGTGTTTGGATGGTAATTTTTTTTAAATGTAGAAATTCACAATCAGCGCTCCATTGAACCGCAGCCAGGTATTTAATTACATATTTTAGAGTTGAGTGTGAAAAATGCAGTAAATGTGATTTATTGTGGTGTTTGGATCTGGTGAGAGACCCAGGCCGAGAGGAGAGAGAGGTCTTTCTCAGCACACGGTGTTCCACACAGTCCAGGAGTCACTCGGGGACACTGATGCTGCGGAATTACTTGAGACCCTCACATTTGTTTCGGTGTGGCGCAAAAATTGAGCGTTCACACGGCGTGAGCAGCACAACTTATAAAAACAGATTCATCTTATTTGAGACTCACGTCTAATAAAAACATGACAAATTGGACGCATTTGTCTCAGAAATTTCTTTACAAAGGATTCAGTCGCTCCTTAGTTTTTGACCAATAGACCCCAGATGCGTTCAGGGACGGTGGGAAATACAGCAATTATTCTGTAAATTTACATGTTGGATAAAAAATTTAATTAAAACGTGCACCATACTTAAATATTTAGCAAAAGCTGATTTCTGGTACTAAGAAAAATAAGTTAAAGTATTATGGTTGCTTTAACTTAACTTTATGCTACTACAAAAGAGATGCAAGAAAAGAGTAATTTATAATGTTTGATCTCTATGAAAGCCATGACAGTCACGCTGTGTATATTATTACATGTATTTCAATACTTTAATCACGTTGAAATACATTCAAAATAACAATAGAAAAACTAGAGTTAAAAATGCATAAGTATGCAAATTATATTTGTTTTAGCACTTGACAAAATGAGAATAGTAAAAAAAACTATTGCCAAGTTTTTCTTTCTATATGAATAAACAACATATTTTTACCAATCTGTGCAAAAATTTTTTATTTAAATAAAATCCCTAAAAATGTGAGTTAAGCATCAACCTAAAAGGGCAAAACATCCATCTGTATAAAGTAAAAGTAAAATATATAAGTCCAGACTTGTTAAAGGTAAGGATAGACTAGTAACTATGCAAAGGACTTGTGTATTTTTTTTACTGACTTTTCTGACAAAACTAATAAATCATATCTGGCAACGCTTTGTTGTTTACAGGAGCAGCTACTGCATATGGATTTCAGTTATGTGGCGGCTTAGCAGTCTTTGCTTACCTCATTGTTAATTAAAATATTTGTGCGAGTTTAGTTAATACCTTTCTGAACCTGAGTCTGATTTATTGTCTTGTTAATTGTATTTTGTTAATGTTCATTTTTGTTACAGTTTTAGATATTTTATGTCATCAAAAGTGTTGTTTCTTGGTGAGACAAGTGAAAGAACAGGCAGACGTAATGGCGTAAATTCCGAGTCCCGCGTGTGTCTGTGAACGCAGCGCAGTTGTGAGATCAGCTGATTTTTTACGCTTCCATTTTGTCCGGTAGAGCAGCAGTCAGTCAGTTCGCAAAGGGAAACCACTGCCGACGCTTCTCCGACAGCGACACCGGGACCGGACAGCTGGTGACGATAACCAGCCAGTGATGTGGTGGTGGCACCGGGACGGTAAAACTAACCGAGGTCCAGCACCGTGAGAGGAAACGACCAAGCCAAAGGAGCTGTCATTTTCAACTCTGACCGGTTTACCGGCTCTTTCCACAGCAGGGGTGCGTTTTTCGGCACAACATCGGCGCGGCTCGCTCTGTGTCTGGCTAACCTTCACTAGCTCCTCGGCTAGCACCAGCCCGTCCTGGAAATCTTGTTCTCACCGGAAGAAGCGACGCCTGCTCCGGCTGTCAGTGTTCCAGAGCCCTCGAACAAACTTCAGACTATGTTCTCGTCAATTCCTGCGTACTTTCCACACCCGGCGGAAGTCTTAACGCACACTTTCTTAAGCAAGAAATAGCTTATAGGACAAGAGCTAACAAGTTGACGTGGAGAAGGAACTTGGGTTTCTTTTTTTTCCATTTTTTCTTCTACGTTAATTTCAAAAGGATTACTTTTTATTCAAAACAAGAAACCAAACCAGAGGTGGACCCGTGTCTGTGGTGATCCCAAACAAACCAAACCAGTTAGCTATGCTTATTTGTGGCCAGAAAGTCTTCTCAAGTGTTTACAGATTCCTCAGTGGGACTCTTTCCTGGTTCGAGTACTGCAACGGAAACATCAGCTAACACAAACTAGCTCGGAAGTAGTGCCATCGTAGTTTATTTACTCAAAATTAAACTCCCCCCTGCCCAAACTACTAAACTACACGGGAGAACTAAAGCTCGGGCTGCTGGTTGTCTAATCGGATCCTTTCGGGACTGCTCAGGGGTTTCTAAGCACCTGGAAAAGGAGAAACGTGTGAGCGTGTGATCCAGCTCGCAGGCAGCGGACCCATTCACCGGATCGTCATTGAAGTTTTGGCTGATTGAGTAGAAACAGAAGCGATGTCGGGCCAATCTATCACGGATCGGATCACCGCCGCGCAGCACAGCATGACCGGATCTGCCATCAGCAAAGCCGTGTGCAAAGCCACCACGCACGAAGTGAGCGGACCCAAGAAGAAACACCTGGACTGTAAGTGCACTGTGTGTGTGTGTGTGTGTGTGTGTGTGCGTGTGCGTGCGTGTGTGCAATCAGCTGCGTGTCAAAAGGACACGTTTACTGATTCTGGATCAGCTGCTGTCATCAGCTATCGGTTTAATTCTAGACAAAATATGCTGATTTGACTACAATCATGCCTAACTGTCATAATTGTAACCATCTTGTGTGTTTTATCTGAGATTGTATTAATCAAGGTAAGTTAGAGTGGATCTAGAACATTTTCCAGGGCTGGACATGGGAGGGAAAAGGGTCTAGGTCAGGGCAGCAGTGCTGGACTGGGTTAGAAAAAAATCACAGAAATAAAACTTAAGTTGCTGAACAGGACTGGTTTCTGTCATCACTTATAGAAGAGATTATAGTGTATTTAAAGGGGGGAAGAACCAAAAATCAGCAAGTTGTTAGTTATTGAATTAGTGATTTTTTTATCTTTATGTGAAATCCTCAGAATTTGTCCCAAATAAGCATATAGGGCATGGGATAATACGTGATTATGCGTTTCATTCTGGGATGTGCGCGGTCATGTTGATGGTCATATGAGTGTAAACGAGTTGTAAAAACAAACGGTATGTTTCAGTGAAGTGGATTTGTGTGAAAGAAAATGTTAAACAACATGTTAAAATCCCCCAAAGGATGTGGAACATACAGGGATACGTTAAAAAAGACGTTGAGGACCGGTATGTGGACAAAGTCAGCATTATAAATGGTTTGGATCCATGTGAAAGACCCAAGACTGGAGTGTGGACCACAACTTGTTTCCGCCGCAGTTCTGCCTAATGGGCATTTTCAGCTTTCTTGTTTGTGGTGTGAGCGGATGTAAACGTCTGGACTTGGACTCGGAAGCCGCCAACATTGCGGCCGCGTCTGTGATGCTGACACGATCACGAGCCCTATTAGCAAAAATCTGAACTTAAGTGTTTTATAGCATCACTACATCCACATCTTGCAAGAGAGCAAATATTCATCATTCCAGGGATTGCACAGAGTCCCTTATGGGCCATTCCCATCTGTACCGGGTCGGTCCGGGCCGAGTAGCGTAGGTTGTTTACATATCTGGGTGGCCTGGTATTTTTCCGAGCCAACCAAGGCTCATTCTCAGCCCTCTTCTCGAGGGGGTCTGCTTCAGGCCGACCAGGGCCAACACACCCACTGCTGACAGCAAATTCACACCTTCCATTAGAGCAAGCCTCTGATTGGTGGGTAGAATCAGTCCACATGGGCTTAAGACAAGGATGTGTGGAATCAACCGGGCCAGGCTGGGGCCGACTGGGGCTACCCGATCCGGGCTGAACCGGTACAGATGTGAATGGCCCAATAGAGGACCGCAAATGGCCCCCGGGCTGCACTTTGGACATACCTGGTCTACAGCAGCAGTTTGGTCCGGCTCCCCTTCAGATCCGTGCCTGATTATTAAAGTCCATGAAAAGCTGATATGTAGCCCAGAGTTTTATATCTTAAATCAAAGTTTTTTTAATTTTAAAAGTTAAGTGTTTTTGTTTCTGCATTGGTTATAGGACTTGACTGAAATCTTTGGATTTAAATGGACAGTGACTATGAGGTGCCGGTTAAAGGGCAAAACATATATATATATATATATATATATATATATATATATATATATATATATATATATATATATATATATATATATATATATATATATATATATATATATATATAAAGGCTACATTTAGTTTCATTTTGCTTCTTTCCGAAATAAAAATAAGGTTTTCAATATTTGGTTATTTTCTCATGACGGGAAAAAGTATTAAGAATCAAATCTTAAAACGTTTGGAATTATATATATGTAGCTACAATTTGAATATTTAAAAATCAAATGTATAATTTGTAACTAAATATATATATAAAAAAACATATTTAGATATTTAAATAAAAGAAACTGAATGAACACTTTCTCAATGGCCTAGTGATAGTGTCTGCCCTGGGACTGGGAGATGGGGGGTTCAAATCCCGGTGGGGTCATACCAAAGACTTTAACAATGAGACCCAATGCCTTCCTGCTTGACACTCCGCTTTAAGGGGTTAACCTGGGGGGTTAAACCACCAAATAATTCCCGAGCGCAGCCACCGCTGCAGCTCACCGCTCCCCACGGGGATGGGTCAAATGTGAAGATGTAATTTCCCCAGCTTATGATGATGACTAATAAGACTTTAAATACAGGGAATAATATTTAAAATATTTAAGTCAATATTTACATCTAAAGGAAAATCTTGATATTTAAAAATCTAATCTATATTGTTTGAATCAAATACAAAATATTGAACAGCAAACCTTAATATTAAGATTGAAAATTAAATATAAGGAATAATATTTAAAGTTTTTGGAATTAAATGTAAATGGATGCATACAGTAAAAAAATTTTCATACCTAAATAAAAATTCTAATTGGCAAATCCAAATATTTACAATCAAATGTTAAAGTTAAATTTCAAAATAGAGCTGCAAGTGTTAAACTAAATACATCGCTGAGATGCAAAATGTAATTTTTCTAACTATTTTACTCTTTTCTGACGGTTTTAAAGCATCTAGCTTTGTCTGCAATATATGATTTCTATTCCTCTGTCCCATCATCTGTCCGCCCATCATTTGAACTGTGTGACCTGAAATCTGTCTTCTGTTCCGGTCCACTAGTGTCAGCCAGGTCCCTCTGTGGTTGATCACAGACAGTCTGAGATGTTGCATCAGTGAAGACTAAAGCCAAAAAAAAAGAATCTTGGGAAATGGAATGTGACCTTCTCACGTTTTTGCCTTCATCAAGGGTTTAGCTTTATATATATATATATATATATATATATGTGTATATATATATGTATATATATGAAAAGCATGAGGTCAGTGTTGTTTTAGTGTTTTGAAAGGAAAAGTACATCTGATCAGGATCTATAAAAGGACTAAATACTCATCAAAGTTCCTGAGATCCACACAAAATAAGTTTTAGCTTAGAAAGTTTGTCCTTACAGGGAAAGTTGCAATAGTTGTTTTTGTGAAAAAGATGGATGGCTTTTTGAAGGACCTACGTTTGAATGAACAGATTAGTCCTGATGAGATGATCTAACGCAGAGACTGAAGTGGATTTGTGTTGTCGTAAAACCAGTGGAGTCCAGACAGGGGAGTCATTAGGACAAGAAAATCCAACAGGAAGTTTTGGTGAAAAATGAGATTTAGTGACATGTTTTTGCTAACTGATGACATGTATCATATTTCTAACACAATGTGCGGTGTGCTGCCTGTGTTGCAGAATGACCATAGAGTTGTACATAAATATCCTTGTAATGCATGGAGTAGATGTGCAGTAAGATGTTAGAATCGACCCCCGTCCTAGCCATCCTGTGACGAGGCCTTTTAAAGACACCGATGCTTTCTAATTACTGAAGCTCTGGTAGAGGTGCTGATTTCAAATACAGCCTGGAGGCTGTTGCCATCACTGTCATGGTTCTGGCTGTGAGTTCCTGTTGTATAGACTCCAAGGTGAGCTGCAGTCAGAGATAACAGAGCAACTAAAGGCCAGTCTTTGATCAGACCTGCATCCCCGTAAGGACAGCGTGTTCTTGTCGAGTTTTCACAGAGAGGAAAAACAGGGTTCATCTCAGAAAAAGCACATCCCTCCTCGTAGAACCCCATATGGTTGAACCCCCTCTTACTAAACGACGTAGATAATCGTGTACCATTGGCAGCTGAACACAGTGAAAGTTGAATGAAGCACTAAAGCAAATGGGTTACCAGAAAAACCAGAATAGAGACGTATCAAGTAAAGAGTGAGTCACACAAGCTGGGCCCGTGTGCTGCAGTGCTAGCACTCATCACAGACATTACTGGGACCAAATGTGCTGAAGTTCTGCTTCTGGGAACTGCCTCCGTCGGCACGGGATGCGCCTTTGATCGATGCTCCGGCTCAGCTGCCTCGCATCCGTCAACGCCTCCTCACTTACAAGACTCAGCTGCTGACGATCAACAAAAAAGAGTTTTGCATTGTCTCTTCTCCTTTTGTGAGGCTCACCATCCCATGTGCCATTTCAAGTTTAATCATTGTAAGTTATTGATTCTTCTCCGGGAGAGCAACAACCTTGGTGCCGTGGGGAGGGAACAGTCTGTTTGTGGTGCTATTTGTCATGGTTTTACGGTAAATGTGCTGCACTGTCAGAACTGTCGTCTTCATTGGGTTGTAGGGAAAGGGTTGCCAGGAGGCAGGCACATACAGGTTTGCTCATCATTCAGTCAGGACTGGAGTCGACTGATAGGAACCTGTTCAATAACTACTGGAGCTGTAAGAGACCTGATCGCAGAATTAAGAGAGGAGCGGTGGCGTGAGGAGGCATCGGTAGCTCGAGAGGATAGCCCAGACCTCGTAATCAAAAATCCAATCGTGTTGCAAAAACATTAAGAATCTAAAACTATAAAGTATTTAATTTAGGGATGTAAATGTACTCAAAGTCTGTTTACTCACAGAAGTAACACAATAGAAAAAAACCTATCTGTGATGCAGTGTGCAGCTGTGGTTTTTTTTCCCATTCAGTGTTTTTTCCAAACATCAATCCAGAATCCATACATCTGGGCTTCCATAGATGTTGACTGATGGTGAAGAAAATTTAAGGTCGGGGTGTTCGTTGGTGTCCGAGACTAAACTAAAAAAAAATTATTAGATTTTTTTAACCCTAAGTAGGCCCTGATGTCCCATGGCGTTCTTAAACTGGCAACTTTTTAGATCGATCATGACGCTCCCAACAGTTCTTCTACAATGCAGGTCCTAACTCCTCATTAAAACTGTAAGGGACCATTGAACCCGTCGTTTCATAGATGACTATAATCAACAAAAATAAATAAAATGTTGTGTCTTGTGTGAAATTTGAAGCATCGATTGAATTTTCACTGCTCAAAGTGCCAACAGATATCACACACACACACACACACACACACACACACACACACACACACACACACACACACACACACACACA